CTGAAAGGGGCAAACATCTTTGGTGGGATGGGGATTCGAACCCGCGACCCTCAGATTGCGAGTCAAGCACCCTAGCCACCTGGCCAACGTTGATTTAATTGTTTATATGCGCGGCATATAAACAATGTGATAATGACTCATGATCTTTATATAATTCCGTTGCTTATTAACTGTATTCTGGGGTAGGCATTTTGGTTGTTTAACACGCAGTCAGGGTTTCAAAAGTCAGTTATTTCTAAATCTAAACAAAAAAAAACGTAGTTCTAAAGTTGTAAAATTCAAGTCTACATGTCATGAAACTGAAAGGTGGGTGGTATTGTTTAAAAGAAATGCCAATTTGATGAAATTCAAAAGAAAACATTGAAAAGGCTTTCAAGAATATGCAAAGAATAATTAAAACCTTTCTTACCGTAAAATATAAATTCCACAATAATTGTCTTCCTAAAGCAAATTGTGTAGCTTTGTGCTTAACTTCAAACAATTAATTAAACCTAAAGTAAATAAAATCCATATTAAATAAAATTATACGATCACACCAGACATCCGAATCAAGCAAGTTCTTTAGAAATAGTGAAGTTTGAAAGAGCAGAGCAGGTGGATGAATGCTAAGAAACATTTACAATTAGATTTTACGGTTTTTAAAAGACTCTACAATGATAAGTAAAGCTGTAATTATAATTTATTTTCCTAACGCAATGAAGAAGGCTATACAGGCAGGAAACCTGAGTAAGTCCCCCATGACAATCTCCCATTCTCAAAGCTTAGGTTTAGTCAAGTTATTCATTCGATTTCTGAACCATTTCATCTATCTTGAAATTGAAGGCGTGACGTCTATTTGGTCAACTTTTTTTGTAACAAAATACTAAACAAATGAAACGATGTTTTTCCGCATATATTCTTTCAATATCGTAACAATATCTCTTGTCTAGTAATGGAACACGTGAAATATTTTATAAGTTATAATACTGTTACATACATATCATTGTTTAGAGAATTTGGTATATTGAAACACTGGATTTCATTAATTTGATATATTTTCACGGACCTACAGTCTTCTCAAAAGTTTCAAGAAAAGCAAGGAATTAACACGATAAGAACTATTGGCTCTGTCGTTCAATTATTGTTACAAATACGTCAAAACATACTATATACAGTATTGTTTGAAGGATAATTTGTTAGTAGAACTCAGTTATTCACCATTAAAACTGTCTCTACAAATCTTAATTGAAATAATAAGTTATTATATCTATAATTTTTTCCTTCATCAAGATGACATTAACACAAATCAAGAGGAAGTTATCAACCACAGAAAATACGATTTAAAGTAGCACAATCTTATTTTAATGTTTCTTCATGCTTTGCCATTAAACACTTACAATATACATACCCCTGTAACCACATGGGCATAAGAGATTCGTAACTTCGAAGAGTGAAAGGTTGTCCTAAAAAGTGTAATAAGGAGGTACTTTTTTCAGATTCTGCCCCTGTAGAAATTGCATTTATAATTTCTTCTTCAAACAAAGGTGAATCGTTCACTAGAACTGTGTGGGCGTTGTCTGTTTTATTGATCTAACGACTAGAAAAAAAAAGCTCGTTAGAAGTAACACTGTTTAATTTATTAAGTTTCGTTTATAGTTTACTTACTGATTATAAGTATTATTTTATTACAACTTCTACGGTAAGGAAGAATATTTTAAAAACAGGTTCGACGTTTCGATCACTAATGCGATCATTCTCAAGTACCATGTATCGAAACGTCGCATCTGTTTTAAAAATAATCTTCCTTACTGTAAAAGCTGTAACTTATAATAAAATAGTGTTTGATTTATTGCTTTGCTGATTAGATCTGGAGTTGTTGTTTTTAATATTAATTTTGAGAACAATGAACGATTTTTGGTAGATATTGCTAGTCAAATCAGTGTCGATTTTGATGCTAAAATGATTTTCTCTTTAACCAAGTGTCACGTAGTTTGTAAATCATACTTAATTCTTCAATACTTACACTGTTGTTATTAAGATTTGTGTATTTTGGGGATTATTATTATTATACTATATATATAAAATAATACAATGCAAAAGTTATTCCGTATCTATGTCTGGATTTCACAAATTATAAACTTATAATACTCATGATTTTATATTTTATGAATTTTTATTCAGAAAGTCTGTTTAAGCGTAGATTTTCTTCAATATATTGTCTGTTATTTTCCATGTGTTAATCCAATTATCACATATTCTAATTTCACGTTCTTTGAAGTTAAAATACTGTTGCGTCAGCGAGGTCACGTGACTAGTATCACGCCACCCCTTTCTAGAAATATCCTGTTCCTTCAAGAATGCCCTAGCATTTACTAGATATGTGTTAGTCTTGTATATATATAAAACGTTCACAACGTGACGGGACAACAGTGTAATGAGTAATTGAACTGCAGTCAGAGAGAATATTGTTAAGCACGTGAGTAGTTCGTTGAGAATTATAGCGCGACTGTTGAAATTAAGTGTATCGCAAAGTTATATTCAGAAAGAATAAACCAGTTTTATTTAAGAAAGGACTTGTGTCGCTAAAGTTTCGTCGGAACGAAGTTACGGAAAATTAACTAACGACTGGAGACGTAACAATACCATATTTTTATTCCAGTTATATTAATTGTCTTATTAGATATCCTCCGATGGGAAAGCGGTAAGTTTACGGACTTACAACGCTGAAATCTGGGGTTCGATTTCCTATGGTGGACACAGCAGCTAACGTAACGTGAGTTTGCTCTAAAACTAAACTAAATTATTAGATTTGTAGAAATTTGTTGTTATTTATCCGACGAAAAAATTAAAATCACGTGATAAGTTACTTTTTACTTTAGGTATTACACTACTTACTGCCTGTTGCCACCCAGTGGCACAGCGGTATGTCTGCATAGTTCCAACGCTAGAATCTGGGTTTCGATACCGGTGGTGAGCAGAGCACAGATAGCCCATTGTGTAGCTTTGTGCTTAGTTACAAACAAACAAATACTGCCTGTTATTGTTTTTAAATTCTTGAAATCCTTAGTTGTTACTTGATGGTTTTGATCAGTAAAATTAATTTTGTTTTGTTTATTTTTTAAGAAAGAATCGCATAATATGTATTTGTAAAGAACTGTCTATTTTGTATTGTACAGTTTTTCAGGGTTATTCTAGTTTGTCACAAGACGTCTAGGACCACATTTTGTTTTCTACCGAAATTTCGACGATTATACAAGTAACGTCAGTCAAAGTAAGTTGCACAACCGGTTTATATGAAGTTTGAGGAGTTATGAAAATGTTAAACATCAAATTGAATTATACAAAAAAAAAAACTTTTCAATCGGTGCAAATTTTGATTTCAAGAGTAAATCATTTTGTTGCGTGACAAGACTAAAAATTTCATTATAATATATCTTTATTCTCAGAAACGAATATCAACAGAACATTCGAGGAGAAAGACAAATATATTTTACAGAATAGTTGAAACATTATGTTATAGATGGAGTAAAACTATTTCGATTCTATTAACCATTAGAATAATTTACATCTAAACATAAGTTTTATTTTACCAATTATTAAATAAGATCTATTCTTTATAAATTAGGCATATTTTAAAATGGAACCAAATGACTAAGTATCATGTTCAGTAAGATATATATACACACACTATGTACGCAACTTATCGGAGAAGGTAGTTTTAAACCATTTAAGATTAAACCATGCTTAATAAAGGTAAACCGATAAAAGTGCCAAGTGATTTTACAAATTAAAACAAATGAAAGCTGTATTTCCAAAATTATAAAATAACACTACTTTCATATATATATATATATATATACAAAAATTTACATATTTCACAATTCATATTAAAACATCACAGGAGTTCCAAAAATGGAATGTTTTAGATGGAAGGTTCAAAAGAGCTCTCTAGGCCTAATGTTTGTGATAAAAACTTTTGTTAGACTGTAACACAAAATAATTCAGTCGTTATATTCCGTCGTTCTCCAATTGCTTCATTGTTGGATTTAGATGGATTTCTCAGAGAGAAAAAAAGAAGGTTAAATGATGAGATTAACTATTTAGATAAATGTTTGCATTGCATACGTGTATTTGAAATTAATTAGTTTGATAAATTTAATCGCTTCAACAATGGTTTCCTCCATTTTGTAAATAAACATTTGGAAGAAAGAAATATTTGCGCAAACTCAGCTGTGTTTACAGTTCTGATTGGATGGTGTGAATCAGATCGAACGACACGGAATTTGATCACGACGACTCGTTCAGATATTAGAGTGATCAAATGGAAAGCGGCAGAATATAACGACTGATGGATTATTCAGGTTAGTAAGAATGAAATCTAACGTGATTTTTATTATAAATATTAAGCAGTTTACAATGTGCTTTCGCCAGCTTTTGACATGTAAAACCGAAACTTTAACGATTAATTCCATCATTTATCAACTAACGTGCCATCGACTTCTAAGACGAATTTTCCGAAAACGTCATCAACTGCAAGCAATTCTGCTCTATCACAAATATTAGGAGAAAACAATCTTCAACAGATTTGTTGTGATAAAAGCAACTGAATACTTTTTGTATATACAAAAGACTTATGTGACGCTATTTGTTTGACGAGCTTTTTTTTTTTTTCGAGCATATTAACTCATTGTTTCTTCCATACAACCAACTACAATTTGAACCAATAAAATGTCAATGTTTCTTCTAATTGGAAGAAATGATTTATTCTCAGCAACCCCAAATAAATTTTCACGCCACGTCATTTTCCTCAAACTGAAATAACCAAGAGCTGAGAAGAACCTAAAATGAAAGTTAAAAAGACAAAGATGGCCTTTTCTTTTTGTCGTTTTTTACAACCTTACCAAAAACAGTACCAATTATTTTTGACACTGTCATGGCACCCAACTTCTGTTTAATTGGTAGAGTCCGCTTGGACTTCTGCGAAAAAGCCTCACGTAAAATACTTTGAAACGCTACAGTTACACCCACATGTGTATCGGCTGCAGAAACTTCATAAAACTGACACTGAAACTGTAAAGACATCTCTTGGCCATCGTCGACGCTCACTTGTCTCGCATGCTCTAAGTCTTTTTTGTTGCCAAGTAGAATAATTGGCGCATGCCGGCCTGCTACGTGCTGTTGAATACGTCGCAAACTGTCTGTTGCCACCTGGAAACTACGACGATCTGCTGTACTGTACACGACAACGAAGGCGTCTGCCCAATCAACTTTATCAGCAGGAAAGACGTCATCCTGTAGCAAGAAAAATTATATTAATTCACTCAATACTTTAATATTTAAATAAATTTATTTAGTTTCTTAACACCATAGCATTCAAATAATAATGGATGTTTACTTAACACTTCAGTATTCAAGAAATGGTGAAAATTTACCTAATGCTTTAGTATTCAAATTAATCTCTCTTTTTTTTTTCTAAAAAAATTCACTGTTAAAAATTGGGTTAAATAACTCAATGCCTTAGTATTCAAAGAAATATATTCAGTTGGCGTTTACTTTTTACTGAACTATACTTGTCTGAAGTAGAGCGTTTTGTCTTTGTTCTGTGAATTCTTGACAGATGGAGCTGACAAAAAAATTCTAAAAATTTTGTTCAGTCGGCTAATACTTTAATTCGAATACTTGTTTACCAGATAATGAAACTCGAGAAATTACACATGTTTATAAGTTATATTTTAAGGAAAATGATGAATAAAGGAACTAATTCTCGTACCATAAAATTACACTTAAACAAACATATTGATAAGTACCTGGGATCTGGAGGTATCAAGGATTTCAACTTGGCAGTGATGACTATCGACACATACTTCATGTCTGTACAGCAAATCTAATAAAGTAATGGTATTACTAAGTAATCAAGATTGCTCCAACGGATTGCAAAGTATTTTTACACATATTTTCTGATTAGATTTATAACGATTTAAAACTAAATAACTAAACTACTATATAAAAATTGTGTAATAAGATTATGATTGAATAATAGTGTTACTAGTTAACTGAATGCAGCTAGATAAAAATTAGATTTTTAAAACCAATTTGCTAATATGTTAACTCAAGGAAGTGCAAAACTTGTATGTATGGTTTATTTCAACACAAATGAATTACATGTTTAGTATTACAAAATAAAGATCACCGATTAAATATCTACATATGTATCCAAGGTTGAGTATTTTGGGTTGTATTAAAACATTTTACTCATCGTTTTAAAACTTTGGTTTATTCAAGAATCATCTTGAATGTACCCACAGGACTTCTTTACATAATTTCGACCTTTAATGAAAAACAAAATAATACAGCCTGATTTGGTTTGTTTTGAATTACGCGCAAAGCTACACGAGGGCTGTCTGCGCTAGCCGTCTCTAATTTAGCAGTATAAGACTAGAGGAAAGGCAGCTAGTCATCACCACCCACAGCCAACTCTTGGGCCACTCTTTTATCAACGAATAGTGGGATTGACTATCACATTATAACGCCCCCATGGCTGAAAGGGCGAGCATGTTTGGTGGGACGGGGATTCGAACCCTCAAATTGCAAGTCGTTCGACCTAACCACCTGGCCATGCCAGGCCAATACAGCCTGAAAAGTGAGAGCGTTCTTGCTACATTTTGTGTGTGTGTGTGTTCAATTTTAGGTGCACATTCGCTTACCTTTACTTGAACTGTATTCACCAATAAATCTCCTTGTTAGATAGCGCACCGTCACAGCTGAAAAAACAACAACAAAAGTTGGTTGAGCTTGTGAGAACCATAATAAAGCACATTACAGAGGTTGAGTACGTTGTATTAAAATGATTTTGGAGACAAACCACGTCTTTACAGTCATGCTCTATCTAACGACCGTGCATCTTGACAGCAGCGTAGTTTCCATTGTAAAAGGATCCGTTGTCGTAAGAATGTCATATCTAAAACATACCACTCCTCTCTTAAGGCTTTTCATAATCCATCTAGTGTACGATGACGTCAGTTTCCCAGCATCCGTTTCAACAGTCACATTGCATTGACATCCATAAGCACATCATCCGACGACTTGACCGGTATGTCTTTATATGGAATAACATGATAAAGAATACCCATTTCATTCTCCAGCTGCTTCATGTATGCAGCGGTTGAACGGAAAGTTTGACTGGAAGCCTTTCTTTGGTGAACCCATTCCCTTTTGGCATCGTTTTCAGCCACATTATTTTTATCATTATGTTGAGTACTGTTACCTGTGTCATGTAGACGGCTTTTCCCACTTACTTTTGTGTTCGTGGATTCTTACCTGTTACAAGACTAAACTTTGCTTGTTACGTTTGGGGTACAGGTTTTTGCAGGTCTTTTCCTTGGTGATCATGGTGTCCAAAGTTGATTCATATTCCTTCTTTTCCCAATGCTATTATGTAAGATGGATATCCCCCACCCCCATCTAGGAAACTCTAAATCCTCAATGTGAACCCATCTTTATGATATCTGAGTGCATGAATATCTTGCGTTGGAAAAAAAAAAACTGTTACATAACTTTTCCAAAAACAATTAGTTTCCGGTGGCATCATACTACATACGAAACGCCAAAGAATGTCAAAATATAGTTCCGGTACATGCCGTTCACCGCGACTTCATATCGATTATGACCGTAACGTAACTTGCTGATTTGCATATTCAAAATATTTTAATATAATGTACCCAACTCTCTGTATAATATCACAAAAAGTATGAAAAAGAGGCAGAAAAAAATCAGAGTATGGAGCATTTTTATCTTATGTTTTTCATCTATAAACCAAAATTACTTTGTCACATCAATAGGTAAAAATCAATAATCAACGACGTCTTGGAACTGTCTTAATAATTATATGCAAAACACTATTAGAACAGAGACAATTATATTTTGTCTTAATTTCTAAGAGTTAATGAAATGCTTATCGGATTCCGCAAAATTGTACAAACCAGGTAAATAATCTGTTGTCTTATTATTATTATCAATTTCATTTTATACAAACATGTAAACTTTTGCTTTTGCAATCATTTCTTATTTTGCAATATCATTTCTGTTTATAAGATTTGTTTGTTTTGAAGTTAAGCACAAAGCTACACAATGGGCTATATGTGCTCTGCCCACCAAGGGTGTTGTTTGTTGTTTCTAGCGTTGTGAGTCCGCAGACATACCGCTGTGCCACTGAGGAGGGGGGGGGGGCTGTTTATAAAAAAAATCTAAAAACAAACAAAAAACCTTCACTGAGATAGGCTTAAAATGTCTAGTGATCTAGTGACTAAATTTTCATTAATCTGATTCACATACATTAAATCGTTTAAGATGTCTAAATTAAACTTACAGAGATTTTTTTTATCTTATGCCTTGGGAAACAGTTCTTGTAGTCTGGCATAGTTTTCATTAAATTATACTTTTTCTTTTCAAATTTTTTATTCTTTTATTTTCTAATATTTTGGTATATCGCCTTATATGTAGATCAGTATCTATATCCATTAAGAATAAACATTCATCTCTTATCAACGCTTGACCATTTTGGCGTTGCATAAATTGGCAACAGGAAATGCCTCTTTGAAAGTACATCTGAGACTACTCGAGCTTCAGAGAAAACTATTAACGATTCTGCACGAAGCCAGGAAAGCACTTGAAACAATCTGAACTCCAGTACATTGGTCCAGTTATCTCTACTGGTAGCTAAGTAACACATAACTTACTCCCACTCGAAATGTGCTTAATAACTATTTGGTAATAATAGTCTTCTGTATTTTTTTTCTCTCTATTGAATATTAGCATTTGTAAAGAGCAACATGAATACATAATCATTCTTAGTTACTACGAATAAAAGAATTTTAAATCTGGTGCAAGTTATTATTACTATCATTTGAAAATTCTTTTTGTTTTAGAAGGGTGATTTAAAAAAACACATTGCGTAAGAGATCTTTCCAGCCTATTTATTTGTCATCAAGTATTTGAAACTCAAAAGGTACTTACACTGGTAACTGAGGAGTGAAGATAAATGAAAAAAATAAGAGTTTGGATATTTTCAAAAACTTCCCATCTACCTAATAATTCTGTACTTGTAATATTTCCAAATTTTAATAAATTTTGTTCGCGATTTGATATTTTTTTAAACTCTTTTTACTTGATTTTCACACCAGTTCCCTTCTATAAATACTTACTTTCTGTGGCACTATGAGGAATTATACACTATAAGATCGAGTGTTAACACCGTTGTTCTTTTCCCACGTGTTTTACTTATCGATATTATTTAACTCTGAAAACTCAATATTTAATCACTTATGTCACTGCAAAGTGTTTAAAAGCGGCCATATTTTATTTTTCAGTGTTGTTTTTTTTCCTGTTTAGGTAAAACTTAGTTTTAACACACAGAAAGGAGATGAATGAGATATGCTATTATGCATTATTACCTCATCTCTCTCGTCCATTCACGAACTATTCTGTGAAGAGTAAAAATGTGTGACTTTTAAGTACTCAGGAGATATTTTTCAAGTAGCAATTATGCACTTGATTGTTTAGCCACAAAAGAATGTTTCAAAAACGGTTTGTAAACAAGCAAAAACCAAAATGCTTTATTCTTAGAGGGCATACAAGGGGTATATCTAGAAATTATAATGTAGAATGGGAATCTCTATTTTTCATTGATTGTTTTAAAAATATGCATGCCTTAAATAAGTGATGTTTTAAGAAAGAAAAATAACAACAAACAGTCCGAAATAATGATTGAAGTTCAAAAATATGATAATAAACGTGCCCAACAACGTTTTCAGAGATGTTTCGAATATATTGGTAAGAAAATACTTAAGGCAATTGTGGACATAACTTAGGTAGACCATTCTGAAGCTTTACCCTAAAGCACAACGCACAATACAGCTTCAAGGCCACAGATAGATTTAGTGAATAATATGTGTATGTGTTACTTTAACAACGCTGTACAAAACTAGGTCATTTCAGGATTTCTAAGACATGCAGAAATTTCACCGACTTAAATTGGTAAAAATAAACGCACCACCCCGCTCTCTTCCAATCATTGTTCTAAGACTTAACATTAATGTAGAAATTTGAGGTTAGTCAACTGAATTTTAAGTGATTCTCCCTTGAATCAAATTTGTGATAGTGCATCACCCAACTTAGAAATAATGTATAACCTTCGACATTTTATTAGGGTCGTTATATTTATAGATTCTTTATACAGAAATTTCTATTAGTAGTCTTTGGTTTTATTATATGAATTTGCTTAAGGTCCAAAGTATAAATATATACTTCAAGTACCTTTAAGAAAATTTAAGATATACATGTGTAGCTTCAAGTCCCCCGGTGGATAAGCTGTAAGTTTACGGGCTTATAAAACTAAAATTCAGGGTTCAGTTCCTGCGGTAAATAGAAGTTATGAACATTCTTCAATAATGGATCACAAAATGTTTGACTAAGAAAAGATTCCCGATCGTTAAGTCTGCATTAGACTTGGCTTTGTAATTGTGGGTGATTAATTATTAATGTGTATTACAAAATTCTTAAATACGTTTGTATATAAAATTAGACCACTGATTTAAAAAAAAAGAAAACGAATAACATTTAAACTGCTGAAGTTTGACCGTTAAACAAAAAGTACTGATAATGTGTTATACGAGCTTCAAATATTTCTGATTGATTGTAAAAAAATATATAGTTTGATATGTTAAGTTGTACAGGAATTTGAACCAGAGTAGCATAACACTAGCATATTTGAATGAAATAATATTTTTCACGTATTACTATATGAAACTACAAAACTACTGATATTCCCCGAGGAACCTATCCAGACTTACTAGTTTTCTTTTTCATCGAATCTGTTAATGTTTTAACATTCTTGGATTTTTGTTAACAATATTTTTTTATCATCGAATTTGTCAATGTTTCGGAAAGTTTTAATATTTTTGGATTTTTGTTAACAATATTAATGATGCAACCTTCAATCAAACTCTTATTTTACTCTATTTGAAAGAATGAAACAAAGCTTTTACAAACATCAAAATAATCATTATTTCAATAATATTATTACTAAAGCATGTTAAATTCGACTTGGCTCTGTATTTCGTTCTTATTAAATTAAATTAAAGGTATAATACATTAATATTACAATTTACTTTTAACACAGTAAAATTATTAACCGGTGTTGAGCAGGCCTTATCGAACGCACATTTATCTTAGGCTATGAAACTTAAACGAGCGAATGATGGTCAGTATTCTGGCGAATTTTCAAGTAGGTCATATACGATACGATTTTTACTTTTTACACTTGAATAATAGAATCAAATTACGAACTCCTACCACGTGATGGCGACAGCATGGAGCCTTTTCAAAATATCGTTGAAAATTGCCCCTAGCGGAAAGTATTAGAAGTTCTTCTTTAACTCTTGTGAACGAATCTCATGCACTTTCACTTGGCACAGTTCGTAAATATAAATAATTTTCGTACTTTCACTTTTGCCCGCTTTCATAATTAGGCGCTCTTTTGTAGAATTAAGCCTTTAAAGAGGAAGATGGATAATTTCCAAAATTATTTATAATACCAACATTTAATTAACTTTAAATTTTGAAAGACTATAATTTGTTCTAGCGCAAAGCTACACAACGGAGAAGAAAGTTAATAAACAGCAACCCTCCTTTAACTCTTGGGCTTCTCTTCTCTGACCAAAAAGTGGGATTTGACCATCACGTACCCATGGTCCGAAAGTACGGAGCGTATTTTGTGGTGTACCATGGACCATCGCATTCATAGTTCGGACATGCTAATCACTAGGCACATCCAGCCCACATAAAAAATGTAATTACAAGAATATAAAAACTTCCATTTAAAACCAAGATTATCTGAATGATATTCGACAATTTGATGTCAGAGTGAAATGTCTATAATATTGAAACTGAAAGAATAAATTGAGATATGATCCAAGTTAATAAGAAAGTCCAGAATTATTATGGTAAACATCCTTAACATTGAATTTGACGTTACCAATGCTTAATGCGGCTAAACGTACTTGAAAACAGAATATTGATTCACACATTTTGCTTCCTTTCTTTCCGAAAAACTTCTTAGATCCAATTTTATGACTTACCAGATTTTCCAGCTTTCCGTGCTCCAAGCACCACAATTCTCACACACGACATTGAAGCAACAGTCATTGTACTACTGTTGGCACAGACGTCGCACAAACAATGCTGAAAAGATGTACGCTACGATTTTGTAACTTCTGAATCAAATGAAGCGTTTCAAGTTTTAAATAAGACTGTTTTAATTTTAGTAGTCTTATTGATCGTGCTGTAACAAAGCACTGTAGGTTTTCAGCTGGAGTTCAAATTTCAGAACGGCAAAATTCTCTCATATAAGTAAAATAATCGCATAAGAGTCACGACAGATTTATTCTTTCCATGTAAACAATGGTAGATAAGGAAAGTATGGGAGGGAGTGTTGACGTGAACGTGTCACCGGTATAACTGAAGGCTACACGCTCCTCAGCAGCAATTTACAACGTTCGACCAGCTGCCATTCGGGTCAAAAGGAACACCCACTCGCGAGTCTGTTGAACACAATGGCGCCAATACGCAGGTGGGAGCTCTGCAACTGACGGAAAGTTCGTCAACCAATCACTTATGTCCCATGTGCGATTCAAAACACACAAGATGCAATCTTGACGTTACAGAATAGAAAAGGGACTTCGGGAGGGAAAGCAGTAAAAAGCTGTACTATTTTCGGGTCACAACTAAAAGAAAATACAAAGACCGATAGTTAAACGCATCTCTGCGCATGAATGAACCACGTGAACACTTGTTCCCTTACCCACCCAACCTCCCATACATACAATACTTCGTTTTTCACATGAATCTAAGAATGCTACCGGAATGCATTAAAACCTAGTAAAGTTGTTCAAAAAGCACTGAAGAACATCACAGAATATACATAATTATTACATTACTAAAGAAAGAAAGAAACGAAAAGTGATTACTGCTTGAAATGAGGGACTAGTAGAAACTATAACCTGAATTAAAATTGGCAGTATCAGTTAGGGAAAATAAATTTAATATATTTATTTGTTGTTAAGCACAAAGCTACGTAACAGTCTATCTGTACTATGCTCACCGCAAATAGTATCGAAACCCGATTTTTAGTGTTATAAGCAGGCTCTCTCAGAGGTTCAGAGAGGCCCGGGCCACTTCTATCTTTTCAGGCCTCTGGCTATAATAATAAAAAAACGGTGACGCATAAAAACAAAATAAGACAATCATTAGCCCAAATGAAAAGTGAAACATATTTCGAAAATTTAATTTGTCTTGTTACGACAGCGGAATTCACGTGACGCTGGTAACACGTAATGAGTATCTAGAACGTTCGTGAAGGCTGGAGTGTTTTCCAGACGCCCTCTATTTTGTATATATATGACCGGCAAGAAGTAACAAGAGATTGATAATTGCAGACAGGCAGAGATAGAGACGGACAATTGAGTCAAGCGCAGTAGTGACCGTATGTAAAGTGCGTGAATCGTTGTGAATTATAGCGTGTGTTTAAGTTAAAATGACTGTGGAAATTAAGTGTATTGCAAAGTTGTATTAAGAAAGAATAAACAAGTTTTATTTAAGAAAGGACTTGTGTCGCTAAAGTTTCATTCGAAAGAAATTATACGGGAAATTAACAAACGACCAGAGAGGTAACAGTGTATATAATTTGCAGCTCTAAGCTGAGTGTGTGTCACATTTTGGTATGTTTGGGAGGCACATTAAAACAAGTTGCGAAACTTAACAAATGCAAAAATTAAGTGTCTAAATTTGAGGTCCCTTTTGAGATTGGGGCCTGGGTCAAATGGCCCTCCTGCTCCCCCTCCTAACTGGCCCCAGTTATAAGCCCTGAGAGTTACCGCTGAGCCACTGTGGGCAAGTTGATGTGATACAAGTATAAGGAAGTTGAGGAAAGAACACTTCTCTTCTGCGCTTCTATCATTTGATGATGCCAGGCTATACAGGCAATACATTTCAACAATAAACGGATAGCACACACTCCACTTGTTTTAAAATAATATATTCAAAACAAGTTAAACTTATGTACAAAAATTCCTTGCACTATGGATTTCACACTTGTATCTCAAACTCTAAATAGTTCTCTTTTTCTTGTCAAAAGTCCACTTAGGCTGATTCAATGGTTTTAAAATCTAACTGACAAGACAAACTATTTTTCTCTGCTCTTACCACAATATTATCAGTGAATAATTCACCTACGCCACCCCGTGGGTTACCACAGATGTATCCTGAACTTCAAATAATTGTCTCCTTTTCGGCAAAGTCCACACAGACAGGTTCAATCACTTTGACAAGAAAAATTATTCTCCTTATCTCTATTAAACTGTGAAACCCATTAAGGCTAATCACTCACACGCCAACTAACTTCACGTTTCTAACCTTTTTTTCTGATTGAACTTTTATTTAACTTTTTCTCTACTTCACTTTACTGAACTTTCTTCTTGACTTGCTCTCACTTGGTCGCCTATATTTATTTTATTTACTGAGGCCTGGAATTTTATACAAACTACGTGAGCGATGATTCAACAATACTCAGTTAAAGTAACAAGAAAAATACCGAAGATTCGAATAACGTGACGTCAACAATATTAGTAAAGCCTCGACAACAATGTACTTGCGTTTTTCTTGTGTAAGTAATACCATGAGTAGAAAAACCTCTAGAACCTTCCAGTTTATAAAATATTTCAAACGAAGTTCATTCCTTTCTTGCTTCAAAATCCCACTCTTGCACAACTTCAGGTTAGAGAGTTTTCACACATGCATATAATTTTATTAATTATATAGTCTTTGTCACAACCAATAAACTTTCATGCTATCCTAGTCGGGTTTTTTTTTTACGTAATTGTAAGCAACGTTACCAAAGTGTAGTCCTACGGTGGGACAGCGGTAAGTTTACAAACTTGCAACGATAAAATCCAGGGTTCAGTGGACCCAGCAGATAGCCTAATGTAGATTTGCTCTAAAAACAAACAAACAAACCAAAGGATAATTATTAGTTTTTTTTTTCCATTAAAAATCGTTGAAAACTATAGAATTCAACGATCCTTATTTTTGGTTGAATTATGTGGAACGCAGTATTACATTCGTGTATGAAATTATTTTTAGGTTGAAAGGTTGCTGACATTTTAAAATCACGTTGCACCTACAATTGCAGCCCTGAAGCTCAATGGATTAGTCTTCTTTCACCAGATTTTGTCTTGTTGTTGTCATTTTTAATATCATCTTCTTAAAAAATACATTGAGTTTCAAACCGTTTTTTTCTTCTGCACCACCCTTACTATTTTGACGAGTACGTTATAAAAACCTCTTTAGAGCCCCATTAAATCGTTGGGTTCTTTTGTTCCCCAGGCGTTCGAACGAAAATTGTAAATATGTCTCTAATCAGTGTAAAAAATTTAAATTCATCCCTTCATATAACAAATGTAAATATTATAAAGTTTGGCTTTATTATTAAACATAAATCAAGAAAGAAAAACCTATATTGTTGGTAATGATATTCAATATTCATATCACACGTCCCAACTGCCAGGATACGGATGTGGTGATGTTTATATTAACATATGGTAGCTGGTTACTTTAAGACACAGAATGTGTCAGGATGATTTAAAACTGGAAATATATATATGTATTAATACAGTCAGGAGCAAATAGTTCTTTTTCTTTATCATAATGACTTTTCATTGATGTTAACTATTAAGATATCTCACCTGGTATGAGTTATTTGCATTAGCTAAGTTGTTGTTTAACATAATATTGTTGTAAAAGAGATAATTCATCAGTTGAACTTGTTTTCCATCTTGTCTGTCAGTTTTATAATTAGGGATGGCTAATTCAGATAGCACATAAGTAGCTTTATGCGAATGAATATCCGTAAACAAATACCCAAACTTGTTTCTTTTTTTTTCTAAACAGAAAAGATAAGATGGGGTTAATCTGTTTATAATAGTGGCTTGAATGTCTAGATTGGATGTCTAATTCAGTGATGATTTCTGTCAATTAATGTATTTATTTCATTCTTAAATTATACCTTTTATACAAATGTATCGATTCACTCTTTCATATTACAACAAGGCTTGAGTATCGAGGTAATATTTAAATAATTAAAAAAACAACTTCTTTTAGACAAATATAAGAAGCACTATACAACGTTTCTAACCATCTTCACCTAACAATGTCATCAAACGCAATCAGTTGGACCAATATAAGCAGCATCACACATCGTGTATAGCCAGCTTTAGTTAACAATGTTATCACATACAGTTAGTTGTACCAATATAAGCAGCATCATACATCGTGTATAGCCAGCTTTAGTTAACAATGTTATCACATACAGTCATTTGGACCAATATAAGCAGCACCATACATCGTGTATAGCTAGCTTTAGTTAACAATGTTATCACATACAGTCAGTTGGACCAATGTAAGCAGCACCATACATCGTGTATAGCTAGCTTTAGTTAACAATGTTATCACATACAGTCATTTGGACCAATATAAGCAGCATCATACATCGTGTATAGCTAGCTTTAGTTAACAACGTTATCACATACAGTCAGTTGGACCAATATAAGCAGCATCATACATCGTGTATAGCTAGCTTTAGTTAACAATGTTATCACATACAGTCAGTTGGACCAATATAAGCAGCATCATACATCGTGTATAGCCAGCTTTAGTTAACAATGTTATCACATACAGTCATTTGGACCAATATAAGCAGCATCATACATCGTGTATAGCTAGCTTTAGTTAACAACGTTATCACATACAGTCAGTTGGACCAATATAAGCAGTATCATACATCGTGTATAGCTAGCTTTAGTTAACAGTGTTGTCATATACAGTCAGTTCAATCAATATAAGAAGCATTATATATCGTTTCTAGCCAGCTTCACTTAATAATGGCAAAACATACAGTCAGAAGTCTTAAGAAAGTTCCTGTATGTGGCGCTATACGATATCTTTCAATGTAAAAACTCTCACGCTTGTCAATCAGGCCTGGCTAACTGGTTTTAGTTAGTGTTTTGTCTCTCAATCACAACGTCACAAATACCTTCAGCGTATGCACGTGGAGCAGTCTGTTAGACTGTTAACTCCACTCAGTTTGCAACAAACTAGCTATCCTTACATTCGCCCGAGTCAATACGGCGCCTGTAGTTAACGTGAATTAACGTTGAGAAAAACACAGACGGACCTGAAATACGATATGGCGTTATGGTGAGTGATCAAAACGTCACAAAGAGTTCTGTTCTGGATCCTGACCAACATGACTCCGCTGATTTATTAATACATAACTAGGGAAATATGAGAATCTTTTAACTTCAGAGATTGTTTATGACGTCAAAACTTGAACCTTGGCTTCCAGTTAGGGGTCGTATTGTTCTTACCCAATCTATTCTGAATCCTAATATTTTCCAGGTCAGAAACTTAAGCTCATTAGGCTTAGAATTTCAAATAAAATAGAATAATGCTTGGAGATACAATAATCCTTAAATATGCAAAAAGAAGTTCAAATATATTTTAGTAAGTGATGTGAACTTCCAGACATGGCCCTTATCATCTAAGTGTGTAAACAATTCGTCTTCCGAAGACCGAGTTCGAAGAATTTAACTCATCATACAAAGATCGTTTACATTCGAAATTTATAACGTCTCCACACAGAAAAAAAAAAGAAATAAA